GCCAACGACTGGCATGGCTCACTTCTATCGCAAGTTACTCGAGGAATCCGAGCAACAGCATGAGGAAGCTGTTGCAGCTGCGTCTGCACCGAAACGTATCCTTGGTCCCCAAGGTCCAAACCTGACGATTACCAAGCCACCCGACATGGCGCCTAGATCAGATCTCGAATTGGCACGAATAGCACAAGAACAGGGAAAGGATGTGGAGCTCAATGACGACAACGTCATCGTTGACAAGCGTGAACTTCTTTCAGCTGGTCTTAATCTCGCCGCACCAAACACACGACGCCTGGGCCTACAGCAACCTCTGCGGAAAGCGTCACAGGACGAACCCGCGCCATCTGTGCACAGGGGTGTTGGTACGGCTGCAAGTAGAAGAGAGGTCAACGAGCGACGGGCACGGGAGGTTCTTCGACAACTGGAGGAGGAACGGGAAAGACTAGCGAAGGAGAAAGCAAGGGCAGACGAAGAAGCCACGCAGAGAGTGGCACAGAAGAGGAATACAGAGCATGATATCCAAGATGCCAGGTCGCGGTACTTGGAGAGGAAACGGCGAAGATTGGAGGAGGGGGACCTGCAGACTGCAGTTCATACCTAGTATTACTTACGTTAGCAATACTATCTCCTTTACTACCCAAGATTGTGCATGTGGCGAGTCAGACTTGCCATATCACTCGCCCACCTCAACATCGGCACCCGCCTAGCCCACACTGCGGCCATGGCCAGAGTAAACAGGACGGCCCATCCATTCGATAAGAGCCGCTTAGAGGCTCTCCTCAATCGTCGGTTCTTCTACGCCCCTGCATTCGAGATCTACGGAGGTCTGTTTCTGATCTCCCTTTCCTTTGTCTAACTGACCAACGATTGCAGGCGTAGCGGGGTTATATGATTACGGTCCCCCTGGCTCTTCCCTTCAAGCTAACATTATCGCCGAATGGCGTCGACATTTCATCGTAGAAGATCACATGCTCGAGCTCGACACGACGATCATGACACCTGCACCAGTTTTCGAGACTTCCGGTCACGTTGCGCGCTTCGCTGACTGGATGGTGAAGGACGAAAAAACGGGGGATGTCCTTCGCGCCGATCACCTCGTAAAAAACGTCCTTCAGGCGAGACTCGTTGGGGACTTGGAGGCAAGGGGCCTTGCAGCAGACAAAGATAAAGAAGACGAAAAGAAGAAAAAGAAGAAAATCAAGACAACCGCGGTGCAGTTGCCGGATGAGACCGTGAAGGAGTACGAAAGCATCCTCGCTCGGGTGCGTACTCTGACTTCACCTCTATGGGTTGTGTTTGACGCGTTCACTACGTGTTGGGTTATTTAGTTAGATAATTATTCTGGGCCAGAGCTCGGTCAGTTGTGCAGGAGTCACGATATCCGCAATCCGGACACCGGAAACCAAGTTGGCGAACCCCAGCAGTTCAATCTTATGTTTGCGAGTAGCATTGGTCCCACCGGTCAACACCCTGGGTAAGGTCTTGCGTTCTATTTTCACCACGTCGTTGACAGCTCCGTCTTAGCTTTCTCCGTCCGGAAACCGCACAAGGCCACTTCCTCAACTTTTCGCGTTTGCTCGAGTTCAACAATGGCCGGGTTCCTTTTGCATCCGCTCAGATCGGGAAATCATTCAGGAACGAAATCTCTCCGCGTGCCGGTCTCCTTCGGGTGCGCGAATTCACCATGGGCGAGATCGAGCACTATGTCGATCCTGAACACAAAGGTCATGTTCGATTCCCTGACGTTCGCTCCATCGTACTCTCGCTTCTCGACCGTTCCGTACAAGAATCTGGATCAACCCAAGTAACCCAAATGTCTATCGGTGAAGCTGTCGACAGGGGCATCGTAGCTAATGAAACGCTAGGCTACTTCCTTGCCCGTATCCACCTCTTCTTGCTCAAGATTGGAATCGACCCTCGAAGGCTGAGATTCAGACAGCACATGGCAAATGAAATGGCGCACTATGCAACAGATTGTTGGGATGCCGAAATCGAGAATTCATCTGGCTGGACGGAATGCGTCGGCTGTGCCGATCGCGCCGCTTATGATCTTTCAGTCCATTCGGCACGTACTGGGCACGCACTAGTCGTCCGCCAGGCCCTCAAAGGGCCAATAGTTACCGAGAGAGAAGTGCCCGAGTTCAACAAAAAAGCCCTTGGAAAGACGCTTGGTCGGGATGCTGGGCTAGTGCAGCGTGTTGTTGGAGAGATGAGTCAAGAAGAGCTCGTCAGGTTGAAAGGAGAGCTATCGCAGGGGTGAGTCCTACTAGCGACCGCACTTTTCGTAATTTGCTAAGCACTATGACCTCCTTTCTGTCCACGGACAGGTCGGCGACGATATCTGCAGACGAGAGACAAATCATCCTCACACATCAGCTACTTACAATAGAAAGAAGGACGTTCAAACAATCTAGTGAGCTTTATCTCGTCATCTGTCCCTGTCAGATCTGAAAGTGCTTCAGTCCGTGAATTCACTCCGAACGTGATCGAGCCCTCTTTCGGCTTTGGACGGATTTTATATTCGCTTCTTGAACACTCCTTTTGGTGCAGGGAACAGGATGTCGAACGTGGTGTGAGAGTTCACCGCTTATTCTTCCGGTCGCGGTGACGTACAACATGTATACAGGTTCTCTCACTGCCCCCTCTAGTTGCACCGACAAAAGTCCTCATAGTACCTCTGAGTGCGAAGGAAGAATTTGACCCACTTATTGAGGAAGTCTGTGCGTACTTCGTTAACTTCGACCCCGAACTTGCGTTCACATAATATCCAGCTACGAAACTCCGCAGAGGTGGCATATTCTCCCGCGTCGACGATTCGAATACGTCGATCGGAAAACGATATGCTCGCAACGACGAGCTTGGCACACCGTTTGGTGTCACGCTCGATTTTGCTTGTACGTGGCTTTGACTGAAAGAACGCACTCCGATTTATCCGCAATACATATAGCACTTCAAAACCGGACGATGACACTACGGTAAGTCATACATGGATCTTCTCCATTACGAGGTACGGGCACGACGCTAACACCCTTACGATGACAGTGAGCGCGACACGACCGACCAACTAATAGGTTCCATCGACGATGTCATCGCAGTAATTACAGAACTGGTCCAAGGAACACTCACTTGGGAGGACGCATGCAAGCGCCTGAGGGCATACGACGGTGTGCAAGCCATCGAATAGACTTATGTATATGTTTCCCAGTTCGGGGCACATCTATTTAGGCCCATTAAGTAGGCCATCGTCTACTAAGTACAAGTAAAGCATGGAAAGTCGTAGATACCAGAAACGCAAAAGTTGAGCAGTGCCAGAAGCAAAATATTAGGATCGCTATGCTGGCGTCCAAAAGCGGAAGGACAGAGCGGCCATCCCGTAAACTTGTAACGCTCGCAAGCCATGTCATTCCGCAAAATCGACATCGACGCCTTTGACGAGGACGTCTTGCAGGAAACGGAGCTATACGAACCTGACCTGCGCGACCCAGCTCAAGTCCTCTCAGATGCGAAACAAAAACAAGCGGCCGTGCGGAGTGCTTTATCAAAGTACGTTCATACCACATGTCCCCTGGCGACCAGAGTCCAATTACATAGGTCATGCAGAGGTGATATATCCAGTGCATTGAACATCTCTCTCGATTGTCCACCATACGGACCCAACGTTGACGAAGCCAAGGTATGTAATGCTCATCTGTGCTTCGTACTTACACCCATTGCTGAATTCACCCATTATCGTCCGCGATTACGATTCCAGAATCTCACACTCCAAACTGTTGTCTCTGTCCTCAACAGCACTAAAGGAACGGAGATCCCAAACATCCTCAAATCGCTGTCCCAAGATGCTCAAGATACGCTCATGAAGTACATCTACAAGGGTATGGGTATGCCCGGATGGGGGGACGTCAGTGGAAGCGTACTACTAGCATGGCACGAGAAGGTGTGTGTTTGGTTTGGTTTCATACATGGTGACTTAAGTTTTGGTATCCTGATGGCCGTTTATGTAGCTTACAGAAGCGGCGGGAACAGGCTGCATCGTACGAGTGATGACGGATCGGAGGACGGTGTAAAGCATACGATAGCAGTCTACATCCAGGTGTAGTCGGTGACAAAGCGTTGACCCCTCACGTTAGCCTCCACGCCTACTTATCCAAGTTTATCTCGTCATGTGTGCTGTCGCCTACGCCGTTCCTTCCGATACTCCATACCTTTGTACACGACGCGAATTCCAATTTCACTCGCAACTTACTGTCCTCGGAGCAACGCGTAGCCGTACGCAATTCTAATCGCAAGGCTGAACCAGTTTGAGGACTTACCCTCACGCGAGACGTGGCCCAGACCCCTGCTTCGACGAGGATGCTATGTGGCCCTGAAATCCGCATCCTCGATATCTTTCCTGGACAAAGTGCACTAAGTTAGATGAGACCATTCTGGATCATCTTCGTCCCACGTGCATTTGCCCTTGGAGTGACGGAGCGCTTAGGAAAGTCAGTCATACGATGGACATCGTAAGCAGAAGCAGTAGAAATATACATCAATTGAAAACTCGATGACATGATATAATGCGTCGGGCGGCATGGTAACCTGTCTATGCATATCTGTGATGACTATGGCTATCCAGCAGGCTGCAGCATTAGCAAAAAGTGTGGCTAGGGTCCTGTTCGAAGGTCACGTCTTCGGGTAAGCAACTGAGATCGAATAATGTATGTTCGCAGAACCTTCGAGTTCAGCCCGGTTCGTTAATTCTAAGGAATCGCACTCGACTATACCAGTGTGGCATTACGTACTTCAGTCGATCATGCAAAATGAGGTCTCTCCTTGATCTGTAGTTCCAACAGTGTCGTCTTATTCCCAGCACGGAGATGCTCTGACGCAGTAGCGGGAGGTGGGAGTTGAGAGCTTTGATGAATTACGTGTCTTTAACTGTATGCGACGATATGTAGATACTAATGGTTTGACCGCACACGAATAGAACTTATGTATATTCTCAACGTCGCCAGCAAAAAGGCAGGCCTTGCCAGGGTTCGAACCTGGGTTTCGGGAAACTCTACCAAATCAAAATCCCGAGTGATAACCACTACACTACAAAGCCATTGGTAAGCTTTTGCCCTAGCAATGGTGAAGAGCCGAGGACTGTGCACGGCCGCGTGGATTTTTGTATGTAAATTGAATTAGCATGACAGTGCTAGTTGCGGTGAGGGTGGCGTGTAACGACTTGCGCAGCTCGTGTTCGGGGCAAATCTAGGTAAACTCGTCGCCAAGGTGTATCATAACAACTGTCCGGTAATCTGCCTGGGAACACGTCGACTTTACCCATGAACAACGAGGACTCGTTCGTCGACTTGGTCAACACTGCCAACCCCGCAGCCTACAAGTCCGCTTCACCAATTCAAAGTTCAAGTAGTCAACATCCCGCTACCTATCCACCATCCGCAAATGCACAGTTCCAGTCGCAACCCATGTCCAATTTGATTGATCCTTTCTTCGACGATGACGATGATCTTCTGGACTTGTCTCCGGTCACCACCCCCACGTCCAATGCAGTCCCAGGAAAGCGGACTTCCTCGTGTCCATCTCCGGCGGACAATGAAGCCATGCCGACGATAGAAGAGCGGTTGATACACGGCACAGGGTATGGCGACGCGTGTATTGTAACAAATTCGCCAGGATTGAGAACGTGTACAGTACGTCCGTCCATCGACACGCCTGCTGCTGCCCGGCTTTTATCGCCGATCTGTGCAAAACTGGATGAGAAATAAAAGTAACCATATACATATGACCCGTACTCTCAATGTGATCGATGACGAGGACGGAAAGACGAGCGGACGGAAAGAAAGACTACGCGGACATATGGGGACAAGGAGGACAGCACTCAGCGAAGGGTGTACGATTGGTCCACCTGCAGAGAGGGAGTAGGCTGTTGATCCGGTGGGAGTGGATACAATTATGCCGTCAGACTACGTGGCACCGGGTGATGCAACGATGTAAAATGGGAGGTTAAATAGGAGGGGAGGGGGACGTACCACAGATTCCGTGAGGTGCTGCCCGTCAACATAGATGTCGATTGTGTTGAGGTGTGGACTTGACCCACGATGTAGTGCTATTTCGTTCATCACTTGCCATGCTGCTCACGAGTACGTCAGATTTGCAAGAGGGCGAAAGAGGGTTCCGGGAACGATGCGGCCACGTGTAAGTGGAAACACAAGGATCATAACGTACCGTCTTTGTCCGATCCAATCTCCTTCCCATCTTGATCATAGAATGAACAGGAAAGCCTCATACGATGCAGGATCGTTGCTTTCCCATCGAACACTGCCTTAAGGCCCTTAGCGTAGTCGTCGATGTCTGTCACGCACACGTCAATTAGTGTCAGTTTTCGCAACAGAGCAACAGAGGATGCCAATACCGTGAAGATTCGAAACGTCAAATGGAATGACTTACGGAACGGTAACAAGAAACCTAAGGTACCCATCGAGAAGCTAAGAACCGGTGGGACGGCTCCATGACTGAAAAGAGAAGCGGCATGCAATATGGTGCCGTCACCGCCCAGAGTCATGACGAGGTCAATTGGTGCAGAGTTTTGGTCTGCGAGACGCGTTTTTTCGGGATATTGCAGCGTGATGTGCAAGTAATCCAATCAGAGGTTTTTCAAGGGCTCAGCAAGGGAGACATGACAACACAGAAAATTAAGAGGGCGTAACATACCTGGCCGCCAGACTTGTACACCGTCAGGGATATCAGGTCTGTCTTCTGCATAGATTTTGACATCTGGGTATGAATTTTTGATATGCCTAGAGACATGACAGTGTGAGTACACTGGCAAGAGAAGGCAAGGGATAAAATACGCACTGGAGCAAATCATCTATGGCCTTAATGATAGGTTCGGTCCTGAGCTTGTTTACAAGGAGAACTGAGCGGGGTGTGTGCCATGGAGTGTGATTCTCGGTGTCCTTCATTCGATAGTGAGCGAGCCCGTCGCCCCTCGGAGAAAGATACATACGAACGCTTGTGGGGACGATACTGGTACTTTTGAGGGTTGATCGGCCTCTCTTCTCTCCATCCGTGCAGTCGCAGACAACGAAAACTGGCGTACGCGGGATCGCAAGCACGGGCTCAGGCCCCATCCTGATTTCTTGCTCGAAAGCCTACCAACAGCACACGCATAGGTGTACCTTAGACTCATTCGCGACAAAGACATGGTGGAGTAACGTCGGTGTCGGATTGGCAACGGGTTTTGCAATGTGGGTCCGAATGAGGAAATAGAGGAGGCATCTGTGAGCGCATGGACGATATTAGCACAGATTTGGTTGTGCGACAGGACGCGCTGGGCCTGTGCGTGGCAGACGGCAGCGACGCGCGTGCTCATCGTGGAGGTCATCGTCATAATAGTAGTCGGTGTTGGTAAGTAGTTTACCGGACCATATCGGCCCGCTAGTTACGAGTTGCACAGCCACATCCCATTCCTCCATATCTCTCCTGCAACTCTTGCATAGAAGGAACGTTTTAACCCACTCAGTCATGTCTTCGGACCCTCGATTCTCACGTCTGAAACACGACCCACGTTTCCGGCGACCGAAGAAGCGTCAAGCTGAGGCCGTGCAGGACGAGCGTTTCCAAGTCAATTCCCGGACCCATGAAGAGGCAAAAGCAGCTGTCTCGATAGCCGACTATGCTCGCGGAATCGTGCTCATGGAGTCGTCTGACGAGGAGGATTTCAGCAACGCATCTGTCGATAGCGAAGCCAGCGAGGAAGAGACCGAATTTTTTTACCCGGACGCGGACAGAGCAGGAGCTCAGGAAGAAGTCCAGAAGACGCGAAGGCTAGCCGTTGTTAACTTGGACTGGGATCACATCCGCGCCATGCATCTCTTCAAAATCTGTTCGTCGCTCGTTTCGCACTCTGTCCCGCCCTCGTCTCCATCATCGCCGGTAAACATTACACGCGGAAGTATTCTCAGTGTGCGTGTATATCCCAGCGAATTCGGCAAGGAGCGCATGGCAAAAGAAGAGAAAGAGGGTCCTCCAAAACAAATTTTTAAAAAGCTGCACGAGGGTAACGGCGAAGTCAACGAGAAAACAATTTTCGAGACAGGATCCGGTGAGGATTATGATGAGGACGCCTTGCGTACGTATCAGCTGGAACGACTGCGGTAGGTGGACTTGCTCCCTGGTAGTTACATGGTCTTAAACGACTGCAAGCCAGTTACTACTATGCCATAGTGGAGTGCGATTCCGTCGAAACCGCTACCCACATATTTAATGAGCTAGATGGCGCGGAACTGGAACGTTCCGCGAACGTATTTGATCTCAGTTTTGTACCCGATAGCATGACCTTCGAGGAAGACCCTAGGTGTGTATTCTTCCAATGCTGCTGGGTAGCCATAGTCATCACGGGCATGCACAGAGACGAGGCCACTGAGCTTCCCAATGCACCATATCGCCCCATCGAGTTTTCAACCGATGTGTGTTTTCTCTTTTTCTGCTTATGACGCATCTATCGTATGGCTGACTTTCGTAGGCACTCCGTCACTCCAAGGTCAAACTTACGTGGGACGAGGAAGATCCAGAACGGTCTCATCTAACTCGGCGCACTTTATCCAGGAAAGATATCGAGGACACAGATTTCAGAGCCTACATAGCATCGTCATCAGAATCAGAGGATGTCCCTGAAACTAGTAATAGCAAGGTGTCGAAGAAGGGCGAAAGGGAGCGGTTACGTGCACTGTTACTTGGGGGAAGCCACGATGGACTTCCCGAGGGTTGGGAGGACGCACAGGAAGCGGGGAGCGACGTGGACATGGAGATCACATTCACACCCGGATTAAGCGTGGCGAAGGGTACTAAAGACCAAACTACGCTAGAAAAGTACGAACAGAAGATGCGAGAGAAACGTCAGCGGAAGAAAGAAGCACGCAAGGCAGCTGCCGCTGAAGATACAGCCGAACCTGACCCCCACGCCGAGGTCGTGAAGCCGAGGACGAAGAGGAAGAAGCGTAGTGCCAATAACAAACACGAAGATGACTCGGAGGCCGACGAAGACTTTTCGATAGATGTGAAGGACGATCGGTTCAGTGCCCTGCACGAAGATCATCAGTTTGCGATTGATCCCAGTAATCCACAGTGAGCATTTTCCTATTTGCACATCTTGCATGGCGCTAATAACGCTATGTTATAAATTCAGATTTAAGAAGACCAAAGGTATGATAGCTCTTCTCGAAGAACGGTCAAAACGCCATAAGGATGGTTACCGTGAGGAGGGTGACGTACCAGTCAAGAACATTGCCATGGACGACTGGACGGAGTCTCCACAACCTGGCAGAACGCGTCAAAAGGAAAAGCGACCTCGCACGGGACAGAGGTGTCGGCAAGCGACGGAAACCATAATTCGCTGCCAAAATATCCTTGTATTACTACGACCACCAGACTTGGTGCCGTTGTTACGTTTGACTGTGCACTTTGTGTCATGTTGCAAATAAACTGATTTGTTGTTTGTCACCAGTCATTGGTTCACCCTAGTCCCTGTACATGAGGTCTCGACGAACCAATGAAACTCACCATCATTAGAATGGTGTCGCTGAACTCGGTCGCTGTTGTACTGCCGAACGATTTCTTAGACAGCGTTCGATTACTCATATTTTCAGCATCGGTGCCCGTCCTTCCACACAGGTAGACGGCGAGGTCTACCAGCACCTCTCCATCAATGACTCCTTCTCATATTCCGCTCCCAAGATCGCCGAGTGCGACCTGCAGCGTCATCGATGGTAAGCACTGGCTGCAGCATGAACCGTGCAAGGTCAATCTCGAGTCACTTTGTGAACCAGTACATTCTCGTAAACTCGAATGCCCTACGACATGGATTTGATCGAGTTTGTCGTCGCACAGAGACGCCCGTCAAGCCCACGTCAGTGAAAGATAATATTCTTTTGACTGAGCTAGTTGGGGAATACTCCATGGGACCGCATGCTAGTCGGAAGTTGATCCAAGGCTGTTGGATCAAGTTCTCGTCAAAATCGCCGAGTGGAACATATTCAGTTCTTCGAGTTCTTCGAGAATGATTGGCAAAGGATGCAGGCGATGAAGACAAATACTATG